GTGTGTGTGTGTGTGTGTGTGTGTGTGTGTGTTGTGTGAGGAGGGCGGGGAGAGAAGAGGGCAGGATTGAGCCATAAGACACCAGGAGCCTCAGACACAGGAAGAAGCCAAGGGCTTGTAGATAGAGGAGCTCCCTAGAGCTTGGGGTCGGGACATCAGGCTTCAAAACCCCTTGAAAGTCCTGGGAACAAGGGAGCTTCCAGCCTAGCTCAGAGGCTGCAAGTGCCGCGGCCTCCCCGAGGTTCGCCCCTCTTTAAGCCACGCCCACATTGTCTACTTCTCGGGAATGAGAGGCTAAGGTTTTGCGCTCTGGACCTTCGTCGCCGGCTCATCCTCCTCCCCAGGAGCCAGACCAGCGTTCAGCGCTACCCACCCCCACGTTTGGAGATTGGCGGGACCCCTTCCTTCCCCCCTCCATTTCGCCGTTCCGCCCCTGGCCTATGAAACTCCACCCCTCCACCTTCTGCTGGCGGGGATTGGTGGACTTCCCGCGGCGGTGCCTAGTGATTGGTCCCCATGGATGACGGTAACCAGCGAGATCCCGCCCCCAGAAGGAGCTAGGGTCTGGGGGCACTGCTCAGCGGTGCTGGGGCTGGCGCGGCTTGAGCCGCCGCCGCACTGACAGCTCGGTCTGCGGACCATGGAGACCGGTGCGGGCCCACATCCGTTGCGCCTGTTCGTCTGCCTGATGCCGCTCTGTCTGGCGTTGCTTTTGGGACCAGGGAGGCCCGGGATCGCCGAGGAAGGTGAGGAAACTGGTGGCTGTTCTTGGAGCTTGGAATGCCAAAAGATAGGAGGCTGGAGAACTGGGGGTCTGAGGGAAGGAATCGTATAGAGAGACTGGAGTCTGTATTGGGGTTTGAGGCAAGCGGGCAGCGGGAAGCAAAGAACTAAAGAGGCAGAGAAAAAGGTAGCTAAGCAAAGCTAGCTAAGGAGATCGGGCTGGAGACCTGGAAGGCTGGGAAGGAAAGAGACCAGGAATCGTGAGAGCCAGAGGCGGCGGTTCAGGTGCCGGTGAGACGGACAGGCTGAGCGATTGGAGGTGGGAGGTGTGGGGGCAGGGAGATGAAGAGAGCAGAGGAGACAGGGAGGTGTGGAGGTGAGATCGAAGTACGGGACGACGGGATGGAGCCCGAACCGCGAGGCAGGAGGTGGAGCGCTGGTAGGGGAGGGATGGCTGGGTCCGGGAGTAGCCCGACGTGCTGGCGAGGGAGCTGTCCGCAGTGCTGAATTTGGAGCGCGGACTACCCGAAGCGGTCCGCGCTGTTGGGCTTGGAGCTGCCTGCGGTACCAGGGCTCGCGCCTTGCCTCTGGATTTGGGGGAGCCGTACACTCAACTGAATCCAGAGGCGTCATATCCAGGTGTAGAATCCTGAGGAGCTGGAATCTAAAGCGCTGACCGGGGGGTTGGGGCGCTGGATCTCTGACGCCAATATGCAATTCCGATGTGCTGTCAGTTATAACAAAATCAGGAAGCTGTCGGTGGTCCTGCTTATTGTCACTGATGCCTCTGGAGCCAACCCTCTTAGAGACCCTCACCTTGGAGCCCCACCCCCTTGCTTAAGCTCTAGATTTGTAATCTTCCAAGACTTCAAGATGGCCTGGGCTCCTGTCTCTGAGCTGCTGCTGTGCTATCCAGACCAATGCTTCTTTGGGACCGATACTGAGAGCAGGAGAGAAGAAATTTTCATTTCTCCTGCTGCTGGCAGGGTCCACTCATTTTTCCCAGAGCCCCTAAGAGTCATACTAAAAAGGTTCTAGTCTCTTCCATCCCTGGTGGCTTCAGACCTCAGATGAGCCCCTGAGTATGAATGAATTCAGGATGTATGCAGAAATCCTCTAATATGCTCACTTTCTGTCTCTTCTTGACATGCAGTTATAATTTAGGGAGCCTAGAAGGCAGAAAGGGGGGCTCATTGACACCACCACTCCTTTCTTAGAGCCAATGTTAAGAGTACTTCCATGAACTCTGGCAGGCTGAATAATGACTCCCTAAATATGTCCACATCCTAATTCATCCCCAGAACCAATCAATCTTATTCTAAATGCAAAAGACTTTGCAGATGTGGTTAGGGATCCTGAGATGGGGAGATTATCCTGGATTATTTGGATGGCCCCAATGTAATCACAAGGGTCCTTACAAGAGGGAAGCAGAAGGAGTCAGTGAGAGAAGGCAACTTGATCACAGAAGGACTGGAGTGAAGCACTTTGAAGATGGAGGAGGATGCCACAAGCCAAGGAATCCAGGTGGCCACTAGAAGCTGAAAAACTCAAGGAAATGGATTCTCCCCTCTGAACCTACAGATGGAACCAGTCCTGCTGACAGCCCAACTTTAGACCAATGAAATTGATTTTCAACTTCTGACCTCCAGAACTATAAGAGAATAAATAAGTAATTGATACTTGAAGCCACAGAGTTTGTGATGATTTGTTACAGCAACCACAGGAAACTGCTACAGGCTCCTTGCCTAATTGTTGTGGCTACCTCTTTCTGGACTCAAGCTACTCACACCCCACGCCTTCATGGGAAGGTACGGGGTGGGAAAAATTTGTCTCTGCTCCCTCAGCAAGTTTACAACAAACTCACAAAAGGGTCCCTCCCACCTTCCTGACCTTCTGACATCTCTGTTCTTCCTCTCCCTAGTCATCCTCCTGGATTCCAAAGCCTCCCAGGCTGAGTTGGGCTGGACTGCACTGCCAAGTAATGGGGTAAGTGTAACCTTTCTCTCCCTCTCCCAGGAATCTTCTGGTGGTCTGAGACTCAATTCCTTTAGCTCTTTGTGGTTACAGCAGATCAAAATGCTCCTCAGAGCACGTGATCTCCAGCGGCACTGGCTTCAAGCCAGAGTGGCCTATTAGAAAACGTTGAGTCTTCAGTCAGTCCAAGAAGAAAAGAAAAAAAGAGAGAGATAGTGAGGGGAAAACCAACTGTGTCTAGCAACAGAAATGTGTCATCTAGATGAGCCAATGCTGGACAGTGTCTTGCGCATAGCAGGTCCTCCAAGCAGTGTTGCTGATTGATGGATTGACAGAAGGAGCAAGATTTAAAATCCTAAAAGTGGCTTAGAAACTTGGTGGGGGTGGGCAGATGTGGCTGTATGACTGCAGCCTGGTCCCCGTGTGGGCACCTGGTGGAGAGCCGGGAGACTTCAGACACCATTCCCAGCTCTGCTGCTAATTCGATGTTCATATCCAGTCAAATCACTCTTTCTGGAGCCTCAGTTTCCCGACCTATAAAATTAAGGGTTGGACTCTTTGTCTCCAACGTTTCTCCCAGCTCTGCATCTTATAATTTCAGGGGGATGGGGTGTGTGTGGAATGCGAGATGATGGGGAAGGGGTTTTTCAGCTTTAGACACCACCAGGGCTTCACCTCCTGGGGGCGCCTTGGCTCTGAGCTTCCCACATCTTTGTTCTCCTCCCCAGTGGGAGGAGATCAGCGGCGTGGACGAGCATGACCGTCCGATCCGCACATACCAGGTGTGCAACGTGCTGGAGCCCAACCAGGACAACTGGTTGCAAACTGGCTGGATCAGCCGTGGCCGCGGGCAGCGCATCTTCGTGGAGCTGCAGTTCACACTGCGCGACTGCAGCAGCATCCCGGGCGCCGCGGGCACCTGCAAGGAGACTTTCAACGTCTACTACCTGGAAACAGAGGCTGACCTGGGCCGCGGGCGTCCCCGCCCAGGTGGCAGCCGGCCCCGCAAGATCGATACAATCGCTGCAGATGAGAGCTTCACGCAGGGCGACCTGGGAGAGCGCAAGATGAAGCTGAACACAGAGGTGCGCGAGATCGGTCCGCTCAGCCGGCGGGGTTTCCACCTGGCCTTTCAGGACGTGGGCGCATGCGTTGCGCTGGTCTCTGTGCGCGTCTACTACAAGCAGTGCCGCGCGACGGTGCGGGGCCTGGCGGCGTTCCCAGCCACCGCAGCTGAGAGTGCCTTCTCCACGCTGGTGGAGGTGACGGGAACGTGCGTGGCGCACTCAGAAGGGGAGCCCGGCAGCCCCCCGCGCATGCACTGTGGCGCTGATGGTGAATGGCTGGTGCCCGTGGGCCGCTGCAGCTGCAGTGCGGGATTCCAGGAACGTGGTGACATCTGTGAAGGTATTCAGCGGACGAGGGGGCGTGGCGTGGGGGCGTAGCGCGCAGGTGGCAATTGGGAGAGAGTGTGCCGTAGATCAAAGAGGCAGGAGGAGGAGTGGAGCAGCTGTGGGCTGTGGAGCCCAGAGCCCTGACCTTCTGTGGAGCTTTCCAGTGGGTCCAGACAGGACCACTGAACGAAGTTACGGGGAGGTGAATTTGACTCCATATAAGGGGTTATTAGGGGCTTATATTTCAGGCACTATGATAAGCACCTCGCAAAGGATGTCTCATTTATTCTTGGCAATAAAGTAAGTCACCAGTATCCCTATTTCACAGATGAGGAAACGGAGGCTCAGAGAGATTAGCACCTCGCTTGCAAAGTTAGTAGATGGGGAACAAGGGTTCGAACCAGATTTGCCCAACTGCCAAGTTCTTTCTATTACGCCATGCTGCCTCCCGTATGCATAAAGAAAAATGATACAGCAGCCCAACTCTACTAGCTATGGACTAGGGGGATTGGTTACATTATAGTGAGCTCCCTGTCACTGATAATATGCAAGTCAGGGTCTGGCAGGGGGATTCTTGAGCTGGAGAGAAAGACTGAGAGGTTGTGCTAGATGACTAGTAAGATCCCACCCAACTCTTCGAACTGTGAGTCAAAGTGCCCCCTGAGGGAGACCCTTCATGTGGGGGCTCTGTTGGGTTCTCAGGTCTGTGTGGGCACCGGGCCAGACCTCTCCTTTTCTCCCCTATCTGTGGCTCTGAGGACTGAGGGTAAAGATGGGGTATGGATGTGTGCCCTTAGTGTAGACAGATCAAGAGAGGCTTCTGCTAAGCCACGTCCTTTTCTGGGTGCCAGGACAACAGAAATGAGTCAGAGATAGTCTCAACTGTTCAGAAGCTCTATAGATGGAAAACATAAAAATTGAAAAACCACAAGGTGATATGTGATCCAATGGAGGGATTAATATAGAGGTGGGAAGACAGAGGAGGAAATGACTCAACTTAATGTCACTCCTTTGTTCGACTGTCCATTCGATATGAGTTGAGAACTTGCCAAGTGCATGTAGGGAGGGTTTATTATATATATTTAGATGAATGTCACCATCTCTTTCCTGGTGGGAACTTATGGATTAGTAAGGGACTTGGAGGCACGAACCTTCCTGAACTCTCCAAGTAGGGTTAGGATCCACTTCTGTTCTCCAGCACCCATTGCAACCTCTACTTGTTGCTTAAAAAAAATTAAGTACAGTTGACTGCAATCTCTGTTTCTGCACTTACCCCGTGCTATGTAGTGATCTACTTGTGTGTGTTTCCACCACTGGACTAGTGACTGACTTCAGGCAATGGTTGTATCACATTTTAGCAGCCCCAGTATCCATAACAGGATGTGGTGCCCAGTGGAAATGTATTGAGTGAAGGAGTGGTTACCATAGGGTGTGATACATATCAACAGAGAATTGAGGAAGCCTGGAGAAGGGAGAACCCAAATCTAAGTGTGGAGAGAGACAGTGAGAAGGCCTTTCTTCCAGGCAAATAAAAGCATTCTGACTTAAGAGACTGTCTCAGAAGCATGGAGGCAGGAGGGAATGTAGCATGACTGGGGCTGGGGGCAGAGGGCATTTGGGGGTGTGAGGGCTGATGGGGCTGGAGAGGGGCAGGAACAAATCATGAAGGGCCTTGAACTTTAGGATAAAGTGCTGAGACTATATGCTGTTGACCAACGGGGAGGCTTTGAAGCAGGGGTCTGACATGTTCAGATTTGCATTTTCAAAAGATCACTCAAGCCGTAATTACAAAGAAAGAATTGAGGAAGGAAGGATTAAGGGGTAGAAAATAAGAAAGATGAGACAACAGTCCAGGAGAAAGAACGCATGGTCTGAAGTGAGACGGTAGCAGAGGTCATTGAGAGATGAGGATGGATGTGACAGCCTCCACAGCACTTGGTGACCATGTGACACAGGAGAAAAGAAGAGTCTTTTTTGATTCATTTACTTCTAGGGGATTGGATGGACAGAGGATCATTTGCTGGGGTAGAGATCACAGGACATCGATGGACACCGAATCTGTGGTGTCTGGGGTGCATCAAGTGGAGGTAGCTAGAAAGTGAGTCTGGAGCTCAGCAACAGAGAGATAGAGAGATAGAGAGAGAGAGAGAGAGACACTACTTGAAGCTGTGGGTACGGTTGGGACAGACCAAGGCGAGGTAAGAAGCAAGAGGGCCAATGATGAAGTCTCATAGAACAGCGGTATTTAAGGGTTTAAGGGGGAGTAGGAGAATCAAAGCCCATAAAAAAGGACCTTGAGGGAGAATCAGAGGCTGGGGAGGATCTAGGAGAGTGTTATTTCTGGCAGCCAAGGGAGGCGGAGGGGTCCAGGAGGGAACGGCTTATAGTGTTGGTGAGCAGTCAGGTAAGGTGAGGTTTGGACAATGTCCACCCGGTGGCCCTGGCCAAAGCAGTTTCTGTTGAGTAACAGAGAGAGAGACCAGGCTGCCAGGAGGCTGGGGGATGAAGGAAGTTGGGGAGCTAGAGTAGGGAACACACACAAAGTCTCTGGGAGGCTGGATTGGAAAGGGGAGGAGAGGGAGGTGGTATCTTGAGGAAGACACTGGGTTGAGAGGAGATCTTTGACTGTAGATGGGAGCCTTGTTTATTTATATGCTGAGGGAAGGAGCCAGTGGGGCACCAAGCAGGGGGTGGTGGGAGTGGCCTGCCCCAGGGGGGATGTATTTTATTACAGACATGGCTTAGAATTGCTGACACTTGTTGCTAATCAAGATCGGGCCATGTTTTTGTCAGTTTCATTGTTTTTTAATACTCCGCACATCGTGCCTTTCCTGCCTGCACCCCAAATGGACCACTTTTACCGCTCCATTCCTCTGTTCTGTCACCGGGAGGAAGCAGTAGAGAAGGAGCAATGTAAGAAGTAGGAACCATATGAGTGATGGAAGATAGTCTGGGAGGAGGAGAAGGGGGCAGGACCCAGAGTGAAGGAGGAGGGGCTGGAGGCCTCCAACAGGAGGTGGCTCATCCTTTCCTCTAGGTCTAGAAGGAACGGGGAGAAGAAAGATGGGTGTGGAGGGAGGTTCGCCGGTTTGACGGCCGGACATTGAGGGACTTACCAACTGACAGCCTCTCTTCTCCTTGTGACGTGGGAGGAAGGCATCTGCACCAGTGGACAGTAGGATCCTGGTCTGTTTCATTCACTCTGTCTCTAGATCCTAGCTCCAGAGCACCTGACTCATAGTAGATGCTAAAAAAAAAATCATCCAATGAATGGATCAGGGTCTGGAGGAGGGGGTTTGGATACACATTCTGGGCAATCTCTCACACACACACACACACACACACACACACTCAGGAACCCAGTCCCCCTTCTGACTTAAGCTGAGACCAGACAAAAAAAACCACTTGTAATGGTATCATCTCTGCCTTGGGGAATGGGGAGCTGGGGAGGGTGCCAGGGAGAGGTTCATAAGTGAGGTGGTTTTTTTTTTTTTCCTGTTTCTTCTCTTTCTTATTTATTTTTTCATTTATTTTTATTTTTTAAGGGAGTTATTATTTTGAACTGGGGTCTGGAGAAACATAGGAGTTTGCCAAGGGAAAAGGGCTGTGAGACATTACAGGACAAGAGCCAGAGGTGTGAAACGAAGAGTTCAGTGTGGCAAGGGTGGGGTGGTTGGCACTGGGGAGGTGCTGGCGGGTTTTAAGAAGGGAAGTGAAATGCTCAGGTTTGTGTTCAGAAAGTGAAGGCCTTCCAGTGCCTTCTACAGCTGAGTACAGAGCCTTCTCTAAAGGTAGACTGATGTGGAGGGGATAGAACCAAGATGTTCTCTCTCCCTTTTGTTTCTCTCTTTTATTTACCCTCTCCCGGTCACTAGGGTTTTGGGGGGTGGGGGAGATCAGGGTGTACAACCTGAGTCTTCCAATCTCTGTGGGAGTGCCCTGGAGCAGGGGGACCCAAGCAAATATTCTCTAAGGCTCCCCCGGGCACACAGAGACCCTGTGGTGGGGTGGCAGGAGAGGGGGGTTACAGACAGGGAGGCTTATATGGACTCAATATAAGGAAGCCCTTTCTCAGCAGAGGCAGCTTCAGAAGAAGGTGGGCTCCCCATTTCTGAGCAGAGACTGTGGCTACTTCTAGGAAAGGTGCCGGAGCACCGGGCCAGCGGGAGTTGAACTAGGTGATCGCTGACATTTGCCTCTGACCTTGATGAAGACAGGGAGGGGCCCGCAGTCAAGAGGCTCTCATGAGTCTGAGCCTCCACACAAACCTCCTCTAAACAGAGTCTGTCAAAGTAGAGATAACCACCTCGGTCTCCATTGGGACACACATCTCTGGGACAGTGGATGTCCCAAACATGCAGAGAAAGGGAGCCCCTGGTACTTTTCCCTACTGCTGGGAGATCCTGCCGACAGATCTCCACTCTGACTTCACAACAGAGGTGGGCAGGCCAAAGTTATCATCCCCACTTGACTGATGGTTTCTTGAGGCCAGAGAGGCATAGAAAGGGGCAGAGCTAACACTGGAACCCAGGCCATCCGAGTCCCAGCGGGGGTTGCCGTTGGTCACCAGCCCACCATGTTAGTGAGTGCCATGCTCTGCTCTGAAGACAGATTATTTCCAAAGCCTCTGAAGCTTCACAGGCCCTGCCCAAAGCTGTGTTGCCCAGGACTCAGCAAGGTGGAACCTCCAAAGCCTAAGCCTTCCAGATAACGAGAAACCCGCAGCTTACTCCCCTCTTCTCCCAGACAGGCTGAAAATCCTTCCTGAGGGCTAGTCTGCATCCCCTCTGTTGTACTGTGTGTGTCTTCTTGGGGTTGGAGAGCAGCCAACCTTCCAGAACCAGCTAAACTAGCATGAAGGCCTGGTGGGTGCAGGGAGGGAGGTGAGAACCACCCAGAAGCTGAGAGGAGGGCCAGGAGCCACTGCCTCCCTGCCACCTGGCCCAGCTGGTGAGACATTTTTTCGAGTGGGCGTTCAGCCGTTTCCACTTCAGGCCTGTGACGGAGGAACAGTAATTACTACCACTGCTGTGTACGTATTGTCTGTGCCGGGCTAAGCAGCTTACACTTCACCTCAGTTAATCCTCCAACAACCTTTTTGAGGTGGGTATTCTACCCGAGGCTCAGAGAGGTCAACCAATTTGCCCAAGGCCAACAGCAAGTAAGTGGTAAACAACCCAGGCGCAAACCCAGGTTGTTCGGATATAAAGAGCCTGTGCTCTTAACAACCTGCATTCTGGGTGAGCCCCGAGAAGTGACAGAAGCAAAGTAAGTAACTGGGGAGGGTGTCCAGACCAAAAGTAGAGAAACTTCACCTTCCTTCAGTCTACTCTCACCCTCTGCCCCCAGCCCCCACACCTGGCTGGCTCCACTTTCAAACTGGAACCAAGTGCATCAGTTGAGGATTTGTGATGCCACGAACCCCCGATGGTAGTGGTGGGAGGATGGGCTCTGACAACAGTGAGTGTGTGTGTCACTGTAAGTGTGTGGGTGTCTGTCCGTGGGTAGCTGTGAAATACCCCTTGGAGGCACCTCTCTTCTGGGCTCACATCAAGACTGGAGAGTTTGGCTTATTTTCTGCCAGTGGGCATTAGTTAGGGCAGCATGGTGCGGGCTCCGAAAGCTGTCTGCTTGGGCTGGAATCCCACCATTTACTAGCTGTGGGTCATTGGGCGAGTTACTGAACCTCTCTGAGCCTTAGTTCCCTCATTTAAAAAGATGACGATAAAGGACGCACCTCACAGACTGTTGGGAGGATTAAACGAATTACTAAAGGTAAAACGCTAGTGTTCTGCACACATGAAGCGCTCGCTAAGGGTTAGGTAGCCCTGGGTTACGTAGGGAGCTGCCATCCCACGCGGCTGTTACTGGACTAGCTGAGACTCCCTTCCGGGCACAGTTCCCGGACTTAAAGTCACCCTAATGGGGCAGGCAGGAAGGTGGGGGGAGAGACACGCTGTGGAGGAGACCCCTCCTCACGTGGCTCCGCCCCGCAGCCTGTCCCCCAGGGTTTTACAAGTTGTCCTCGCGCCGGCCGCTCTGCTCCCCGTGCCCAGAGCACAGCCGGGCCCTGGAAAACGCCTCCACGTTCTGCGTGTGCCAGGACAGCTACGCGCGCTCGCCCACCGACCCGCCGTCGGCCTCCTGCACCCGTGAGTGCCCCTCCGGAAGGCGTTCGCAGAGGGGGAGGGGGGAGTCAATAAAGGCGTGGGGGAGGGGTTGCTGAGGGCAGGGGGCTCCGCACTGGTGAGCGTGGGAAGGGCGTGGGGGCCACGACCCGGACGGCGGGGTGGAGGGAGGGGAGCCGGGGGTGGGGATGGGGCCCGGGACTTGGGTGGGAAGAACCAGGGCAAGAGTCCAGAGGACGGAGGGATGAGGCTTCTCGTGGAGTGGACTCACCTCACCCTGCGCCCCGGCCAGAGGGGGGCTCCCGCCCCTCACACTCAGCGCTGCGCCCCCGCAACCCCATCCTCGTCCGCTTGCTAACCTCCTCCCACCTCCCTGGCCCTCCCCCCACTCACTGGCCCCCACGCCCCCTTCCGTCTCTCCCCCATCAATGGCCTCACTTACCACCCAGTCC